GAGCAGCTGCCCAGAGAGGCTGTGGAGTCTCCTGCTCTGGAGAGATCCCAAATCCTCCTGGCTGTGACCCTGGGCACCCTGCTGTGGGTGAGCTGCTGGAGCAGGGGGTGGGATGAGATGATCCCAGAGGTCCCTCCCAAACCCACCACGCTGGGGCTCTGGGATTCTGTACTGGTAGATTGTTTGGTTTGTGGAGCTTTGCTCAGAACAGAAACAACTCAGCCTCAAAATGTGCCTAAGAAACTCCCACAATTCAAAAGCAAGAGAAAGCTCCCAGAGTCTTACTGGTGGAGCTGGTATCTTTTGAGGACAAGCTAAAACCTCCACCATCATGCTTCTTTCTTGCAGGACCTGACAACAGAGGAGAGCTGGGAGGTGTTCATCCCCACAGAGGTGCAGAGGATAGTGACAGTGAAAGGGAAGAGGTCCAACGAGCACGTGCACTCCCAGGGCCGGGTGATGGGCGACCGCAGCGTTCTCTACAAGGTGCCCCTGGAGCTTCTGCCTGACTTTTTGCTGATGCATTCTCACCATTTCTAGGTGCTACGTTGAGGTTCATTACCCTGCAGTGCCATTTTTTGTCTAGCTATGCATCAGTCTCCACAACCCTCTGCAGAAGATGCTAATTTTGGTGGAGATGTCTTCTGTAAAATGTTTTCGAATCAGTCCAGAGTCTGGTGGTGGGGAAAGAGCTGCCTGATTTCAAGTGATCTGTGCTAATAAGATACTTTGTTTATTATATGCCTAGTTCCAGATGATTTGCAGATAAACTAAGAGCCTGTGGCACTAAAGGGGATGATCTCATTTGTTGTTTTTTATGTTTCCTTTAGTCCTTGAACCCCAACCTGCTTGCTGTGGTGACAGAGAGCACAGACACGCACCATGAGCGGACCTTTGTTGGCATCTATCTGATTGATGGAGTCACTGGCAGGATCATCCACTCCTCAGTCCAGAAGAAAGCCAAGGGACCTGTCCACATGGTTCATTCAGAGAACTGGGTGGTGGTAAGAAGTTTATCATTGCTTGGCCTTTACATTTGGGAGGTAGGGGCAGTCGCTGGACGTGGACGGGGAAGGCTGTTTGACCGTTCCCTGTCGTTTCCTCCTGCCTCTGTATTATTGACTCTCCTTGTCCTGTATTCCTAAAAATCTCTCCCTCCAGTACCAGTACTGGAACACGAAGGCCCGTCGGAACGAGTTCACTGTGCTGGAGCTGTATGAGGGCACAGAGCAGTACAATGCCACAGCCTACAGCTCCCTCGACCGCCCCATTTTGCCTCAGGTCCTCCAGCAGTCTTACATCTTCCCGTCTGCTATCAGTGCCATGGAGGCCACCATCACTGAGAGAGGCATCACCAGCCGACACTTGCTCAGTATGTACACGTGGCTCCCTCCCAAATGTGCTTGTGCTCCCTGCACAGGCCAGGATTTGCACTGAGAGGGCAGTTTATTGCCAAAATTCCTCCCTGTGGGCTGCCTTAGACTGCCAGCAAGTTCAAGGCTAAGCACCAAGAGAATGCTTAGGTTAAGTGTTAGAAAATGCTGGCAGAAAAGGCCATTTTTAAGATGGGTTTCTTTTGCTGCACAGTTGGGCTTCCCTCTGGGGCCATCCTCTCCCTCCCAAAGGCTCTGCTGGATCCTCGTCGCCCAGAGATCCCTACGGAACAGAGCAGGTAGGGAAAAGCAGCTGGGAAGAGAGGGGGGCTGGATTTTTTGTGTAATACAGTAGTGTGAAGCAGAATAACTTGTCCTGGACAGACTGAGGGCAATTCTTGCATGTAGTTTAGCCAAGTTGCTTCGTTCCTCATCTGTGACAATGGGACATTTGTCTGTAATGCAGCAGAGCTGACCATTAGCAAATCCAGCCTCTTGGCTGCACAGTCAGGGCAACTGTCCGGAGCTTTTGGAATTGCACTGATTTTTCTATCTTTAGAAGGCTGCTGCACTGTAGTCTGACCCCAGCTGGTGGGGTTTGGTTTTCATCCTGCAGCAAAAATGAATCTGCACTGGGAAAAGCTGCTAAATTTGCTCTCTCAGGGCAGCTTGTGATAATCAGACTCATAAATCCAGGTGATGTCTTCACTGTGCTGTTGGATTGGGTTTTGATTTCTCTTTAAATGCATTTCAGAGAAGAGAATCTGATTCCATACTCCCCTGATGTGCAGATCCATGCTGAGAGGTTTATCAACTACAATCAAACCATATCACGGATGAGGGGCATTTATACAGCCCCCTCTGGCCTAGAATCTACTTGTTTGGTGAGTGCAGGGTGGAGCATTACACCAGGGGAGGTTTGGGTTGGATCTGAGGAAGAATTTCTCTCCTGGCAGAGTGGTGAGGGATTGGCCCAGGGAGGTGCTGGAGTCCCCAGCCCTGGAGGGGTTCAAAAAAACATATGAATGTGCCACTTCAGGATGTGGTTTAGTGGTCATGGTTGGATTTGATGACTGTAAAGGTCTTTTCCAACCTTTATGATTCTGTGAAGATCAGTGTGGGGCTGTGGAGTTGGTGATGGAGCAGCATGAGAGCACAGCCTGTGGAGGAAGGTCTGTAACTCCTGCTCACCACTTTTCATCAGAGCTGTAGACCCAAGCCAGTCATTTTTGGTGTACCCTCTTTTATGCTGCTTTACCAGCCTGTGATCTCCTCTCTTCAGGTCGTTGCCTATGGGCTGGACATCTACCAGACCCGGGTGTACCCCTCAAAGCAGTTTGATGTCCTGAAAGACGACTACGACTACGTCCTCATCAGCAGCGTCCTCTTCGGGCTGGTCTTTGCTACCATGATCACCAAGAGACTGGCCCAGGTGAAGCTGCTGAACAGGGCCTGGCGCTAAGGCTGTGGCTGCAGGGGAGGCTGAGGCTGGAGGAGGCAGCTGAGACTCAGCCTGGGTGAAGAGCTGTCTCCCCACATCACCTCTGGCTTGGGTTCGGGATTCTGGCTGACGTGGCTGATGGGTGCAAACACCTCTGTGACATTTTTGCTGGAAGGTATTTGGGAGGAGAAGCTGCTAGTGAAACAAAATGATACGCTGCCTACGTGTCTCCTGGGGAGAAGAAATGGAAGAGAGGTGGAAAAGAGACATTAGTCTGACTACAACTCTCCCAAACCCTAAAATCTGCCACCGCCTCATCTCCTTGATGTTAGGGAAGAGAATACCACAGACATGTGTCCTCTTGCTCCTCACCTCTTTGGCCAGTGTCTTGGCACGAGGAGGATGTGGGGTTCTTGGCTGTTGGAGGGTGATTGTGTGTGAGCTACTGTGTGCCAGGCTGCAGAAGAGGAGACCTCAGGTTGTTGCCTTAGGACAGAGGTTACAAAATGGGTGGGAAACAGCATTGTTGGGTCCTGAAATTACACTGCAGGGCTGGGGGAGCAGTTTGGATGTAAAGTCTCTCCGTGTTCTTTATTTATTGAGAAGGAACCAACGTTCTCAGCATATGATTTTTACGTTTTCCTGTATTTGGTGCACAACACTGGGTTAAGGTGTCCTGGCTGGGACACCGCTCACCTCCTTGTACTCTCAT